CAAACAGGACAAACTACCGGACACAAGGAACAAGTATATATTTTGCCTCGTCTCCTGCCAATCTCCCCTGCAGAGCATCCTAAGTCTGCATAAAGATCCTGAAAAAACTGACTGGCTCGTGCGGTGTTCAAGCTCTCCCATCTCTGTCCACAAATCACTGTGCAACATGATTCTCATCGCTTCGTAAGTACATGTCTGTGGTCTCCTGACGCGCTGGGTGGGTTCTAGAACCTCTTCCAGTCATCCAAAGAATCCGCTCGATGATCATCTCACCCACAATGTGAGCCAAAAGTGCCAGCACTGAGAGGTTCTTCTGCACCGATCTAATTACGAAAAGGCTGATGCCAAAGAAGTACCTTAAACCTGTACCACCCTCTGATCTCCTCAAACAAGTACTCCCTTCGATCCAAATCCTTGGCACAATTCTTGAATTAAAATCAAGTTCAGACGGCATAAGTTGTCAATCCTTGCCACAATTCTTGACTGCTCCTCACCCCAAAGTCGGGTCGTTTCACGGGTGCCTTCGCCGTTGCGGTCCGGCTCCAAGCCCACGGAGACCACGAAGACCGAGGGGACCACCACCTTCGAGCAACGCGAGACCAGGAAAGACCACGGGGACCACGCGAGACCAAGGTGAACATGTTGAAGGCTGGTGTTATTTGGCCAAGAAGGGGCCAGAGGTGGCTCGTGTTTTAGATGGGTTTTAGTTAGGGGCTGTGGGGGTGTTTGCTTGTTCAAAGACTAGAAAAAACATCGGCTGGAGGGCAGCCATGACTTGTGACAAAGGAACTCCATTCAGCTCAGATTCGCATTCGTACTGAAAGTACACACCGAGAGTGTCACTGACACCGACTGCTGGGCAGGCTCAACAGATGTCAACAGTGACCCAATCATGAATAATTGACACAGATTCGACACAGTCCCCCTAAGGCCCGCAGCGTCCAAAACCATCCGAATCGGATGTCCCTAAGGGTCCAACCCCAGTTCGACCATTCTCTGGAAGGATGTACTCACCTCTAAGGCCATCCGCACGAGGTAGCTGGACTGCGAAACATCACCGGCCCATCTGCCCGTCTGCCTTCCGCTCGCAGCCTTCCGTCAGCACGGCGTTCTTCTCCTCTGGATCATGTTTGGAGTTGGTGCAAGTGGGAGAGAAAATGTCACTCACCATGCTGACGGGCGTGGAGTGTAAAGAAGGAAACATCGAAAAGAAGAGGCAGCGTTCTGAACGAGGCTGCAAAAAGGAAAAATATTCTTTCTCGTCCACATCAGTGCGCATTTTCAGTTCATTGTTGGGCTGCATGGCTTCAGTCCATGCGCCATGGTGGCCTACGGTCCGCATATGAGCCATGTCCATGTGTACCACAGGTTTGTCAACGCATACACTGTATACATGCAATTCGGTGGTTGCATGTGTTTCAAACACTCGCCTTTGTTCAACGCATGGAAATCAAAGCTTCCTGCTCTCTGAACTCCAAAAATGCGGCCGCACGACTCGGCCGGCGACTGCTTGCACCGCCGTGCCGAAAACGGTCCTTGAAGGCCAGACCGGTCAAGAAGCCGACATCCTTTGAGAACCTGTAAGGAAGACAGCAGTTTTCGTTCTGAGCAACAGGGGATTCGAAGGATTGGAACACACGAATTAGACACGCACAGGCCAGTCTGATGGGTTGTACCAGCAGGGCTGATCTTCTAGGCACAACAAATGACTTACGGCGCCTGAGATTCTTGGTTTCATAGAGCTTGGGATGAATATCCTTTCCCACCCAAGCTCTACTTGGAAGATTCACATGCTAATTACTTGGAGAGCACCACCTCATGGAATAGCCTGCAGTGATCCTGCAAAGAATGGTCCCAACTCTGTTGACATGGGTTGACTCGCACCCTCCGGTGCTGGGAAATGGCGACCGGAAACCTTCACACGAATCACACAGGACACCCCCTCCACGAGGTATTCAAAGGGTCTTTGAAAGATCAAAGCTAGTGTCATCCCATTGACTGCACAAGGGTCTCCAACCATGATGAGGAAATGAAAGGAAACACAAACCTTCTGCATCCAAACTATGTCCCGATTGCTTGGCAAGCAGTACAAGCATGTTTGCTTCCTTTGTTGCTTCATCTCCACCCTCTGCAGCACCCATGTTCCTTACTTATTGTCTTCTTGTCCACCAACCGCCAGTGTTCATCCACCTTGCCCGTCGAACAAATGCATGATTTCATGCGCCTGACTTCTCCGAGGCCCTCCACCACAGTCCCCACCCCTCCGCCGGTGCCTTGGCACCAGGTCCGCCTGTAGCCGTGACAGCTCCTCCTTCGCCTGGCGGTAGATGTCCTGGACCCACGGACCCTCCCTCGATGTTCCGGTTCCGGACCAAGCGCTTGAGGTCGACAGGATGCCATTGATGTTGCTTCGCCCATGGCGTTGATCGCAGGAACTGGTTTTTGTTGGACTCCGAAGGAGTCGTGAACTCCGACCTGGGAACGCGAACTCGCTGGCTCCGACCTTCAACACTCCAGGTCGGATTCGTAAGTGATAGTCGGTTTCAATGTGTTTTCAGAATGAAATATGGCATAATCCCCCAATGGGATCCCAGATCCCCATCCAAAAGACATCTTCGGGTTTGTGCCATCTCCTCTCAGGTTCGGGCTTTCATTTTGAAAGATTCCTCTGCACCATCTGGACCAAGAGGATGTGCCAACAAAAAATCCTTCCTTCGCCGTTTCCCTTGGAAAACACTTGGACCCCAATGTGGGGTCATCGGTCAGTCGTCGGATTTCTCGTCTGGTGGGTTCCACTTATGATAAGGCTCACATAGCCTTAACGGTATATCCCACCTTGGGCCCAGCTGGGCCCAGTGATTGTTCAGTTGCAGGCCTATATCTCAACAAATAGTGAGGAAATCCCTTGGCGACTGTTACAGGTTTACTGGGACACACACTTTAGCATCACATAGATTAAACATGATTATATAACATAACACACATGAAAATACCATGACACTTCGTGGTCCTGGAAGGTGGCACCTGGAACCACAAACTCCACCACCTTCTTGTGCAGCTGGTGCATTCGCATGTAAGCCTGCTGGTGCATGGGCATGCCATTGTTGGGTGTGCAATAAACAGCTCTGCATACACCCAGGTGAACGAACATGGCATGACTTCGAGACCATTATTGAGTAAGGCTTAGAGGAAGGGATCATGTGTTGCTTAAAAGAGTCTCTGCAGCATCACCAACTTGAGAGTCCAACTATGTCCAGCTCTCCGAAAAAGGATGGAACATCAGGCCCAATTGCATCGAATGACTGTTTCATGTTCGTTTTTAAGCAATCACAACAAGAATCTTCCGCTCAAGTTGGTTGAAAGTCTTCCTTGCCTTCTTCAAATGCCGATGTTTGCCATAAAGAGCTATAGTTTGCAGTTTGCACCACTACCGGGGCCATTCCACATGCGGACTACTGAGTCTGGGATGGCCGCACTTGTCCAAGCGTTGGACGGCCTCATCCTGAAACTGCCAAATGCTCACCGTCCGCTGCTGCACATTTGGATCCTTTATCTTATTCACCATCCCGGTAGCCAAAAACAAAGGGTTTCTAGAACAAACACGTGGCTTCTCAGAAAACAAACTTCAATCCACTTGCCCACATGCAAAAAGAACCACCATAGCCCCCGGAGAGAGAGAGAGAGTCTATACTATATGTATACTTGCCATTCCATTCGATCCATTGAAGTCAATGGTTTAGCCGCCCAAACGATCCCAAACGGCCACCGCACCCGACGACGGTCCGTGAGGTCTGACAACTGGCCTGCTTCATCTCATTGGGCGGATTCACCAACAGAGTCCTCAATTCGGGCGCCGCTCTGTCTGGGCGCGTACAGACTGGAATCGCGCCCATGGGGGCTGCACGTTTCTTGTGGGATGTGAGTTAAGGAAACATGAAACATTCAGTCAATCCAGGGACGGATTGACATTGCCATTGCCGCTCCAAGTTTTTTCTTCTAAAGAATTTTGAAGCACTGAGCCAGGCCCAGAACGGGGTTACCGGTCTACCGTTTTGCGGCAAGGGGCATGACATGGCATTGGCATTAGCCTCAGTCTTGTCACCAACTCACTAGACTCATTGGAGCAGCAGGGTCCCACTGATTCCAACATGCTTGATCCTGCGATGCTGGAGTGTTTTTGTTAGGACATTTTTCATATCTTCCACACCTCTCCTCTTCCACTGCCACCCTCCTCGGTCCCACTCCATCCCCCAGATCCCGGGATGCCGCACCGCGTCAAGGCCGCGAAGTACTCTGAGCATCGAACGCCAAGGCCCAACAGATGTGACCCTGAGGTGTTCCTGCGTGGAGGGGCTGCGTGGCGCATGGGAGGGGTGGGGGTTGATGACACACCCCGAGTGGCACCCCGAGGGGCACATGGGCACGTGCAAAACAACGGAGTTGTGGAAGTGGGCGAGACGAGAGCCCACTTCAGCTGGAAGTCGTGGGGTTTGGTGAAAGAGTGTGGGTTTGTCGAGTTCTTTACTAACTAGGAGCAAGGACGCTAATAGGCGGTACTACTATAGTTTGGGTTTGTCAAGTTCTATCAACAGCAATTAACAATGCTTCACCATGCAACATGCACCAGAGGTACCCAATCCACTGCAGCATACTGCACTTCCCATCAGTTTCAGGGCCGCAAGACCTGATCCAACAAACCGTCCAACAATGACGTCCCGATGTCTTCCGTCGCCTGACGATCATGACGTCTCAGTCATGGTCCGGTGACCCCCGCGCTCATGCGACGTGATGGCGATGACTGAGGAAACCTTCGACCACCGTGTGGACCGGATGTGAGGTGGACCGCGTCCACAGCTGTGGTTCTTCCAAAGCACACCCTTTTTGGTCCAAAGGCGAAACCATCCAGTTGGGCTCGGAATCTCCACTGGGTTTGCCACACATTTTAGGAAGTCTTAGAGATGGCACGGGTCTGACCCACAAATTGTTACACTCATTCTGATGCCGAGACTTGCTCACAAAGGAAAAACCATGAATTGGATTCCAGGGAGACTGGATGGGTGCAAGATCGTTATCCGTCGACTGCTGAACGTCTTTGACGTCTTCTCAGCGAAAGTCGACCTTGGTGTGACTGGGCAGTGATGTCTCTGCAGATGGGACGCGTGTCTGAAAGAACGGCTGCAACCCTAAGTGATTTTAGTAACGGCTGTTGCTGAAGGAGCAAGGTGGGAACATGCCGTTTAAAAGAACTGGTCGTTTTGGAGGACGGTGTCTGAGGACAACCCCCATGTAAGTTGGAGGCTGATCGACTGACCTTGCGGTGGCACCAAACTTTGCGAATTGGTCAATAGAGACTGGAGTTTAGGGTGTGTTTGTTTACCCCATGTTGTCACCCTCTTACAGCAATCCAAAAAGCTGTTCAACAGTGGTCATTGACATTGCTTGCTACAACACAGAGCTGTGCAGGGTGACAACACTAATTATGTGACTAATTAGTGCACACAAAAAGGTGAACCCAGAGTTTTACACATTCATGGCCTCTGCAGTATGATAAAGGAATGGTATGGACTTCTACCAAGCCGAAAAGGATCGAAAAGGACGAGGCGTGCGCAGCACGTAAGACACCCGCGCAAACACGTCCGTACCGCACGTCAAACAACACGTCCAACCCGTCTCGTACTGCACATGATCCGTGAAAAATGCTATCGAATTCATGGATTTAGCTAACTCGCGCCGTCTAAAATACACACTCCGTAGTCCAAAAATGATCCGACTCGAGTTTCGCCAACACCCGACTTAAGTCTCCATGCCAACCACCCAGCTCACTCACTGCAAGCATGGGAGGCCTCAAACGAATGGACGGGTGCGTGGAACCTTGACCCCTACGACCTGGCACTGCTTGGGCGGAGGTGGCCGGGGTATAAGCTTATTTGGAATGTGGAACTTTCTAGTCTCTAGTCAGATCGAGTCAGGCCAGCCATATATTGGTATTACGTGTTACAACAGGAATGACATACCAACGATATTCAGTGGATAGATGTACCAACTATATATGCTTCAGCATAATTCACTGTATACTAGACCACGCCACCGAACCTTCTATCAATGTGATCACAAAAGACTGAAACAAATAAAATAAACACATCTGACCGAAACAAACAAAATGAACACATCTGACCGGAACAACCAACTGTCACTCAACATGAGTGAAACAAGGGAGATCCAACCATGTGTTTGACACCTCCAGCCACAACCAAAATATAGCACTTCCTCAGTCTGCAGGAATTCCTCAGTCTATGGACCCTATGGAGTCCACTCCAAGTTACAAGCGCCAAACATGATTGTCTGGGCGACCCTGACACTGACAATGGACAATTGAACAATCACACTAACGATCTCTCTACAAACCAGTGGTTGACTTAGGGCCTTCCATCACAATCAAGTCATCTTCGTGGTCAACCTATGACTCGCGGCGTCCTCGAAAACATGTTTGGATCTCCCTAGGGATCCAGTCGTACCTTCTCAGAATGTCCTTGAACCCTCCTGGCACCTACAGGATCAGTGTCTCCAATCACCGTTACCTCTGGCCGTCGCATCCGGCTTTGGGGCTTCATCTGGGCGCCCGCGCCAAATTGCACACGATCCCCGTGGGGCAATCATCGTCCACCTGCGGGAAGAACGGCTCCCGGTCCTGCGACGGTCCTGAAACGTCTTTCTTATTTTTTTTCGGCGGTCGTGGGTGGGTGGGGGGTGGGAGTTGGTGCGGAAATGATCAAATCTAGTGTGTGGGTTAGCATTGAACTTGGTTCGGCCCCCGTCTGACCTGGCGCCAGGTGCTCCAATTGAATCCGGCCTGTGTCCGCGAAACTGCGAGGAGTCAACACAGGTGCCAAACACATGGTGCGAAATCTGAAATTCAAGAGGATGCTATATGCAAGTGATTGTTTGCCAGCAGCCAGGGTGTTGAAATTGAAAAAGGAGAACACTATAGAACACTGAACAACATATAACACAATTTGGATTGAACAAGGTGTTTGGTTTACAATTTACAAGGCTTGGTTGTTGTTTTCCTAACGATGACAACATCTTTTAACTTCACAATACTGAAGGCTAAGGTGTGCCAAACTCGTTGGCACTCTGGACGCAAAGCACATCAGCAAATCGGGTCCACGTTAACCCCAAAGCACGGATTTCGTGCAATTGATCTAATCCGTAATCCGCCCCAAACCGGACAATCCTATAGTTTGTAATCCGTAGTCCCCCTTAGGATTAAGGATTACGTTTGATGAGGCCAGTTAAACACATTGTCAATCTGTCCCATCAAACCTTTGGGGAGTGGGAAGACCCCATTCCTGGTTGACCTCTTTCTCCGGTCTTCATTCTCTCCACCCGGTCTTCGCCCGTGGGAGAGCTCAAACGACTAACCGAACAATGTCTCGGCCTCGCAGCAGCCGTAGATGGAGAGCTCAGAACAATGATGCTCACACCTGTGGAACGGACGGATCTGTGACATGGTTCCTTTGGTGCCCAGAGACATCGCGATGAGACGAAGCTTCTGTGACATGGGACGCCCAGAGAATCCATGGGACTGGAATAGTTACTTATAAATTGGGGTCATAAATGGCGTAAATGTATGGAACTAATCCAGACATGGATGGTCTGGGTTGGGAGTGTTTGGGCTGAATATCTTGGGCCCTGAAGGTTCACTCTATATCGCTGGAAACTTCCAGGCTACGATCTGTGGCGTTTGGTTTTCAGGTCCCAGCGAATCACTCCAACCATATAGATCACCAAGCATACTCATGGCTCCAACACATCCCTTAAAACAGGTCGGTGCCGGTCGAAGACAACGTGTTGAAGATCACTTGTAATGAGCTGTCGAAAAACTATTGGAATTGGCGCCATGTCACATGGAGGTTTTTTATGTAGCTTTGTTTCCCTTTTGCACATCGGCCAATATTGATAGGTGGTCACTGGCACTCGCCACGCCATCCGTTGGGTCTCCCCCACGCACTGCCCGAGTAGCCAGGATGACCTCACGAGGAGTAGCGCGGGAGGAACGCGTCGACACTTCTGTCCCAACCGTTGGGAGGACGGTGATTTTACGTTGTTGCAGAGTCCATGCGCAGCATGTGAATAGTCAAAATGGCCTTATAGTCTAAAGGTGTTTTGCTGTTTGATTCTTGATGCATAAAGTCAATCAACCCAGTTTAAAGAATGTATCCCCCAAACCATGCGCAGCATGTGGGAGTCGTATGTCTACAGGGTTTGGTTCAGTATGTGTACTCTTGAGGTGACAATATAAGAACATATAAGAACTAGTGGAATGTTTGATGATTTGGTGGGTCAAGCTCAAGGCTGGAGATCCCCCAAACAGATCAAAAAAAAAACATTTAGAACATCAGTTAGTCATAAGGCGATGCTTTTCTGTTTACAACTAGTCTGTGCAAGGACACAAAAGAACACCAAATGGTCTTAATGCAAATGCAACACCAAGGCATATATGAAAGCACACACACATACACACACACTGTACTGTACCTGCTTTTAGTGATTTTTAGTGTATGTAAGAAACAAGGAAACACATCAGCAAACATGAATAAACATGATAGGTTTTGACATCTCCATCTGATGATAACATCACCTTCTTGCAGGGTACTGTTGCACTTCCGGTTTGAATGGTCAGAATTGAGCTACTACAGATGGCCTGGGATGTGAAATGGAACAGAAGCATTCAAACAGACTCTGTTTTGAGACCAGTCCGAGGCTACAACCCCCGCCACGCTTTGGGGGTGCATGGCACCCAAGAAGCAGCTCAAGTGATGGTTTTATCTAGTGCAACAACAACATGAAAAAAATGACACACACACACAAGTGTTGGCATCTGCTTCCAAGTATGACTCGATCTTTCATTGACAAACAAACCAAATCCACGATTTCGTGAAGAACTCATTCATGAAACTTATGCGTCCTGCATGAAACTTCTGTGTTCTTCCAGGGCCCCACCGTGATAAAACCGGGGAGACTGCCAGGGCTCCAAAGGTCGGACGGCCGGGCTTCCGCGCATTCACAGCGTCCGAAGGAGAAGGCTTGGCCACTGGTGCGCAAGCAAGCGCCCTGGACCGTGGTCTATGTATCCGGTACAAGTAGAAGGCGTGGTTGGTGGAAGAAGTTCAGAAAACACACGGCAGTTTTTTAATGCAGAACAGCAGGGTGTGAAGGAATTGCAGGACTCATGCATCTGATCCTTAAGGAATTTGAGGGCCATCTCGTCCTGAAGAGGACGAAGCTGCTCCATGTTCCACTCGGGACATCGGGGACATCGGACGGTCTCGACCGACCTCGGAAGCTTTTCGGATGGTCTTTCGGATGCACGGACCGCCAAGCTTTGAAAAACCCTTGCAGTGACTGCAGTGACTGCGCTTGTCATCGACTTCCCAGAGAGGTTTGCGGAACGTGGAAATGGCCTGTGGAAACATGCATGCACTGCCCACCTTCTGAGGTTCGGGCACGTGTTTATCACCCTCGATAGGAGGGTCTTCGCACATCCGCCCGCCACAGAACCCTTGGGGGAATGATACAAGCCGAAACCACCAAACCGGTGCCCAAGGAGCAACGGAAATACCACACTCTGCCAAGGGGGCCACAAATCAAACCATCGTCATCCATCTTCTATTCTCCCAATGCTTCAGTAAGTATCAGTAAGTGCTTACTTCTTACCTCACCAAACTGATCCAAACTCCCAATGGTTCCTCAGCGGCGCCTGTCCGGAACAGGGCACCTGCACATTGGGAAAGAACCGGTTTGCACCTGACCGATGTCGCTGGGTCGGGCGAGGAACGACCTCGGACGTTGCCGGTCACGTCGTTGTTCGTATGTGTTCAAGCGCAGGAAGATAGAATCACGTCGTTGGATCTGTCTCTATACATAATGAAAACCTACCCCCACACCGCTCTTGGGTTTAGATAAGTCTAGAGTCTAGACGAAAGATTCCAATCACTATACTGGAACTTTCAACCTCCACATCACCTCATGACTGGAAAACCCCCCACACCCACACACAGACACCCCTCGCGCGTGGCGAGCCCGCTCGCTCGCACCAACCTGTTGGACAGGCGTCGTAGCAGTGGCAGCCCACCTCCTGTCCTCCCTGAGCATGTACCTGGCCATGTTGGGACACCGGTGGTATATCAAAAAGCCCGACCTTTCCGAGCCAAACCCATTCTGAACAAGGCCAGGGTGGTTGGTGGTCCAAAAATAGAGATCATTCAGTGGTTCTAGAGACACAAATGGACCTCTCGTGAAAGACCAAACATGCGAGCAACATACAGGGGAGGGCATGCACCTGAGCCTGCAAGCCACTTGGATCATCTTGGGTCACCTCTTTCTTAGACAAATTCAAGGGGCCATAACATGTTCAGGAAGGCCACACTGGGAAGCTACTGTTGACTACAGTACATCTTTTCTTGCTGAGGTACATGGTTCCTGCAATTCCAAGTGCTACAGTACCTGCCAAGTCAGTCTCGCTTCAAACACACCATCAACGCCATCCGAAGTGCCGTCACTGACGCGGTGTGAAGAGTGCCACCGTTTTTTGGACACGCCCATCCATGCTCAGAAACCAGCAATGCTCGCATGGTTGACATGCGCATTCCTTGGGTTGAATCCTTTTACAGGATCTACAGGCATCAGGTCACTGAGTCGGGTATGGTGACGCTATCCAAAGAGCTGCACTG